TATTCTTCATAATATCTATAAACGAGTTCAGATGATTTTTCTATTTTAATGAAATTGAAAATGATATATATATATATATATGTATGTATGTATATATAAAAGTTGGATTTTATTGACAAAACATTCGAAAACCAAGGAAAGCATAGATGGAAAAGGGAAGATGCCCTACAAACAAAGCAACTACGGAGGAGAGAATCAAACAATTATTAGACCAAAGAAAGGGACAAAAATTACACAAATAAACCACACAAATTCATCAATTCTAATTTCTAAACAAAGAAAATTTGAAAATGCTAGTTGATTCGAGAAGTTTATTTTATTTTCTAAAAATGAACATAATCAAGCTTTTTTGAAGTCAATGTTGATTTTAAACCACTTAAATGAAATTCATTTGCATTTGGTTTGGGCAGTTAAGAGAGGCATCAAAAGAGGGCAGTTGGGGAATTGAAAAAGCACAATGTGGAAATAAATTTTTTTTTAATTTTTTGGGAGAGTTGAAGGTGGGTCCCACAGATTTTATGATATGTCGTATGATACATGTCTCACAGTCAATAGCCTGGACCCTGATGCACCTGATGTTATTAATGGAGGGTAAGTGAGAGTCTGATGAGTAGCAATGCAGTGTCATGGTACCATTAAATTTCTATCTGACTCAACAATTGGTAACAGGCTGGTCTGTAGTCTGTACGATCAAAGCAATTGGTACAACCGTTGTGATCTTGAGTTTTGGTGGGCCATGGTAGGAATCAACGGGCCCAGATCTTTTATAGACCATCAGAAAAAGTCAAACCATTTAGTACTACTCTAGGCCCTCTGCAATTGATTGCTGCCGCATTCTAGAATGAAGGACTAGTACAGTAGCCGTATGATCAATTTTTAGTTCCATGGTCTACCATCAATCTTTTTAGTCAGAATCCTATGCACTGCAATGCACCGTATTTTGTCAAAACACGAGTAATCGCTTTTGGAATAATGCGTTGAAACACAATTTAATTTCATTGAATACATACAACACGCTACAAAGAAGAAACCGTTACAACAGAAGATTCAGATGCCACTCTTTTAAACTGCAATGCACTGTATTTTTTGAAATACAAAGTAATGTGTTATAAACATAATTTAATTGTATAAATGTACTGAAACAAGATTTAATTGCGTTAAATGCATATACAACAAACTACATAAGAGAACCCATTACAATAGATAATTCAGACGCCACTCTTTTACACTGCAATGCACTATATTGTTTGAAATAATGTGTTCTAAACACAATTTAATTATATAAATGTGCTGAAACACGACTTAATAGTGTTGAGTGCATACAAACACACTACAGAAAAGAACTCGTTACAGAGGAAGAATCAAACACTACTCTTTTACACTGCAATGCACTTGAAATAATGTATCAAAAACACAATTTAATTGCATAAATGTGCTGAAACATGATTTAATTGTGTTGAGTGCATACAATACATTACAGAAAGAATATGTTATAACAGAGAATTCATACGGCACACTTTTACACTACAATGCACTATATTGTTTGAAATAATGTGTTAGAAATACGATTTAATGGCGTTGGGCGCATACAATATACTACAGAAGAGAATCTTTTACGATTTCGCCACCACTTTTTAAGTAATTGTGTAAAAAAATTATAGTGCATTTGTGGTATGTGGTGACAAGCAGACTTTACAGTGCACGAAAATGATAGAAATTAATTCAACGACACATAAATTTTTTGTTGGGTTGATTTGGAGCAAAATCTCTTAAGCAAGTTCTATTTTTCAATCAATTAGGTCAAATCTAGAATCAATTTTGCAGCAACTTGATTTGGAGCAAATTATCTTGAGATATACAGCTCAATTCAGGGGGGTTTGGTTTTGGTAAATTATTGGGGTTCAAAAGTTTTGAAGACAGTGATGTTACATCTTTTGTAACTGGACAATAAGTGATTCTTTGGGGCCAACTAAAAATATGAAGAAACTTAGCTGTGTGAAAGACACATACTTGATATAATACAAAACTTTATAATAAACCATATTTATCCAAGAACCACTTAATTATTTTTATTTTTTTATTTTCTTTACAAGTCAAATAATCCAGATATAATTTATTTAGTCTTAAAAGATTCTTGATATGGGTTAGCTTCAAAGATGGAGTTGAGGAAGGACCTTGTTTTAAAAGACATAATTTAGTTGTAACTGGTGGGTGTGGGGGCTAAACACGGCACCCTGCCTACCTAGAATTCTTTTGGTTTGGGCTCTTAGCGTGATACCGGATTAAGGAGTGAATCTGATTCTAGTACCAATTGTAATGGATGATCGTTTCGCAATTTGATCCAAAAGTCTAAACTATTAGGAGCCATATATACCCAGTCACTTTACATTCAGATTAGATGTAGGACAAACTCCCACTTGTTATACTAATCCACTCGTTTTCTTTTAGAATTGCCACAATAAGTTTTTTAAGTAATTCAATTTTTTGTATCAATATTTATTTATAATCATAAGAATAAATCACATTAAATCATCGTAACTCTGATTGTATAATTTTATATATATTCTTACACCATTTTAGCATGAGCAACGGGATGATGTAATTGCGCACCATGGCTCGTGTTTTAAACGTTTTAATCTAAATAAGGGATTATGGTGTCAACATAATTATAACCAAATATTAGGTAATGAATTAAATAGCACATCAAGAAAGAGTAATTTTGGGAATTACTTCAAACAACCACCGAAGTTTTCGCATGTGCTCTTTATTATAAAATTTTACTGCACACCAATTCTTGGTGAGGTTATATTTATTCTTGAATGTGTATGTGCGATACATATATATATATATGTGCATATTATTAAAAAATAATAATAATAACAAATATGCATAACTTTAACGACCGCATAACGAAATGTATTGCACTAGCAGACTAATTAATTTTGTGGTCCATTCTTTTTCACTATTTCAATAGAGCAAATGTCGATCTTTCACTCTTTCATTTTGAACATAAAAAATAGAGGATTTAACTCTTTTCAATAATATTGTGAAAGTAATTTGACAGAATTAAAAATAAAAATTCTCAAATTTTTATTAATTTATTAATCGACGGTTGATATATATGTTCGTTTTTTACCTTAATAAAAGACCATATTATATGTTTTTAGGCGTAAATATTATTATGACTCACAAGACTTTGTAGAAAGTAACACTACATATATTTGATTCACTATTTTGTAAATAAAAGTCTCATGCACTAGCCTATTCTTTCTTCTTATTAATATGACTCCAAAAATAAATGTTTTCAAATAATTATTTAACATTAATCACAATGATTTTAACATCACATCCCATTTGATTTAAATAGTATGATCATAACTTTTATTTCTAAAAAGTCAAGTGCTTTAATAATAATAAATAAAATAATATCAACCAGATATCTAAGTAGCATCCTGTTTGGTGGGTAGTTCTTTTACATCTAATTGGGCGGACCTATATCATGACTATATAATGCCTATACAGATATTTGTGTGTGTATATATATATATATACATATATAATTGAGAAACTAAAAAATATAATTTTTTTGTTGTATTTTATCAGCCTAACAATTCACGACACAAATATATAGAGACTTATCTAACGGTTTCTTATTTTAAAGGGAAAAGAATAAACAGTCGTACATCACACACACAGATAGATATATATATATATATATATATATATATATATAGATATATTAGCTAATCAATTTTCAAACCTAGGTTTGAGATTCAGCAATCTCTTCTAAGAATCAATGAATCTATTGTTTTTTCAAATTCCCAAATTTTACAGTTCATGTGAGTTGTTTAATTAATACTAAATTTAGTCAGACACTTGAACCCCGATTTCCCCGGATTCCCTTTTGTTTGTTTAGAGGATCGTCTCACTCATCGCTATATCACAAAATACAACATTAATACAACTTTAAAAAAATATATATTTAACACATTTATATCAAAAATAAAACATACATTATGGCATTGTAACATTATAATATTAAGAGATTATTGCATTCCATACCGCCGATTATATGTGTGGACATCCCTTAAACATATAAAGGCGTTTTGAACAAAGTGTAATCCTAATTTTAATCACTTTGTGCTACTTAATTTTTTTTAGGTTTTTATTTTTTAAAGAATATTTAGAACTTGCTTGGTATGATAATCAGAAACTAACAAACAATTTTTTGTATACCATTAAAATTTTTAGTTATCAAAAAATTATTTGACAAAAAGCTGAACCAAACAAGTCCTTTCTCATCCGATTGTGTATTATTCCATTCATCTCAAAATTTTAAATTAACGCGGCAAAATAAAAAATAATAATAATAAAAAAAAATTATGAGTGGTTCCCATTAATAAAATGTAATCGCCATCAATCGTACTTAAGGGGAACAACACTAGGCAAGGATATTTTGTGATGGGATAGGGTAACCCATGGGACAGCCCTTTCTTTCACACTCATATAGGTAGAGGAAGTAGAGCAAGGTTCCTGAAGTCAAAAGATAAATAGACTGAATGTCCCATATCAAATCAAACAACCGACCTTCACATGCAAATTCTATCTATTCTAATCATGTTTGATCCATAAAAGTTTACTACCAAAATCCTCTACCTCCATCAACATGCAACAGAATTGCAACAATCAAACCAGAATCCGTTTCATGAATCATACATTTCCATTCCGCCCTATTTAAGACCATATTCTCGGTCAAATCCACGCACAGTTATTTTCTTTCTTACTAACTCTACACATTAATTTCGGTCTTCCTCCTCCCTTAGTATACCATAAATGAACCCTTGCAGATTTTCGTAATCATGATTTCTATACAATCAAGTCCAATGCTGGAGTAAGAATTTCTCATAATAAGCCATGAAAGAAAGAATGGACCAATTTCAAATGCTATGTAAAACATAAGGTAAGTACTATATTAAAGCATTGAACCAAACATGCCATAATAGACAGAAACAAGCTTTATGAAACTAATGTCAATCTTCTCACAGCCATATAAACAAGGAGTGATCAAAGAACTACTAAAACAATTTTGATTGGAAATTCAAATACAGACAACTAAAGACCATAAATCTGTATGGTGTACTAATGTGATCCATTTCAATTGGAAAAACGAAGAAGAAGAAAAAGAAGAAGAAGAAGAAGAAAAAGAAAAAGGAATAAATAATAAAAATAGTTCAAGCCAATTGAACCCAATAGCACAAAAATGGTCAACAAGATGAATCATTTCGCGTCCCATTTAGATCAGTTTGTGCTTTTTTTACCTTCAAATCATCGAGATAATTCTGATAGATGTAAGTGGCGAAACCCCAAACAGCCAGAAGCATACAGATTATCTTTACCCCATTCATCTTGTCATGGAAGACTATCACGGCGGCAATAGGAGTAAGAGCCAGGGAGAAGGTACTAATAACATTAGAGAATAGAGACGAGACCACGAAAATCAGGCCTACGACCCCAACGGAGCAAACCTGCCAAGCCACAGCCGTAAACGCCAAAGTCAGCACATAAGAAACTCTGCCCTTACCAAAAGCATCCATTTCCGAGTGTAACGTGTTCCATTCCCCACTTGCAAAAAGCCCCACAGTAGAAGCACAAGTGGCAACAAATGATGTATAGATTTGCATTTCCAAAACCACGGAAAATGTTTCCTTCTTTAAAACCTTCTGGAATGAAAGCTGCATGAGGGAAAGCAAAAGAGAATAAAGAGCAGAAGCTCCAAGAGTACTTAGAAATCCAATGACATACTTCGACTTAGAGACTCCAGAGGGTCCACTAGAATCGTCGTTAACAGCAAGGAGAGAAGCAGATAAGGAAAGGATAACCACGGAATTTAGAATTAAAGCAGTAAATTTTTGAGAATTGATGAAGAATGAAAAAACCGCATTGAAGGCCAATTGGGTTGCACAAATGAGGGAATAAGTAGAAGCAGAGAGGTACAATAATCCAATGGAATACAACATGTTATCACCTGCAATGAGTATTCCAAGAACGAAATAGATCGAGTATATAATGGCGATAGAAGGTGGAGGAGAAGCAGATGAAGGCTTCTTGGAGGATGGGAGAAGAAAAAATGGGATGAGAAGAATTGGAAAAGCAGCGGTTTGGACAAGTGTAGCCATCCATTTACTATTTCCACCTTGAGCATAATAAAATCTCCCTAGAAGAACAGCAGCACATTGACCAGCAAGAAGGAAAAATATGTTAAGAGCCACCAAAAGCCACCATTGCCATCTCTTAAGCTTGATGAATAAAGTTGAAGTTCCATCCTTTATCATTGGTTCTTCATTATCTGTAAGTCGACATAGCACAAATGCAAACATATTTAGCATATATTTGTAATCTATGAGCATCGATGTTATCACGACACAAAAATACTTAATAGTGAATAATATAACTGAAAAATCAACAAATTAAGCAAATATTGTAACATCAATACATATAACTATATACAACAACCTAGTTAACTATAAACTGTTATATCAACAACTTAGTTTTTTGGATTGTTATAAACTGTTAAATATAAAGAAATCATAAGTGGTGTATTTAATCTCAAGTGGAATTGCTTTATAGGATAATCCAAGCCCGAGACAGAAAATGTGCAGCAATATGGAACTCAGCACAGAAATATAATCCCAAATACCAAATAGGAGAAAAAGTTCTTAACACAATAGATCTTCTGCTAACTATAAGCAAGGTTTGAATTGAATTCCTTGTTTTTCTTCATTTGATAAGTCTCAGATCAATTCCTTATCCTTTAAAGAATGTTATCAGGATGAAACCACTACCTTTTTTTTTTTCCTGAAAGTTCAAGCAGACGAGCACACACCCACAATATTGCCCCTAACAGGGATTGAACACTCAACCTCTCCTTTGGGAAGGAAATATCATACCATCTGGGCTAATATTGGTATGAACCTACTACTGTTGTCTGTCATAGAAGTTCTAGACACACCCTTCTATGCATATATTGCATCTTTTACAATTGCAAACCCATATGTTAGCATCATTCCATATGACTCCCCCAAAATACACATAAAGCTAAGGAAAGAATAATAAAAGCTTAGCCAAGAGCAAAGTTTTCTAAACAATAAACAACACAGCTTTCTCTCATCTACCGTACTTGAGAAATAAAAAATAAAAACAATCATGGAAAAAATGTAAAGGATGGCAAGCAACACAGAATGAATATGTTCTTCCAACAGGGCCACGATATAGGATTCTAGACACACCTTTCTATGCATATATTGCATCTTTTGCAATTGCAAACCCATATGTTAGCAACATTCCATATGACTCCCCCAAAATACACATGTAAAGCTAAGGAAAGAATAAAAAGTGCTTAGCCAAGAGCAATCATGGAAAAAATGTAAGGATGACAAGCAACACAGAATGAATATGTTCTTCCAACAGGGCCATGAAATAGGATTCTAAAGTACAAGACTCTGAATTTAAGGATGTATGCTACATCAGAACATGCATTACAAATGGGATGAGATAACTGGTTTTTTCAGATTCTAAAAATGTGCAAGATTCCAAATTGTCTTTCACTTTTCCCATTTTCTTCGCAATCAAACATTGTGTTAACTTACCTCAACTTCAAAATATAACTGACACCACAACAATTTCAAATACTAATTCAACCTCCCAAAAACCAAAACATGGTTATGATCTCTATATTAGAAATTCATAAACCCCAACTTCAAGGACTCCCTTTTTCGTGTCGTCTCAATTGGACTGTATAAGATAATTCCAAAACAATACTATATATGCTTGTATGCAAGTCTCATATTGGAAATAACATATAATTTTGTATGTTGCATTAGAGCATGCATTACAAGTGGGATGAGATAACTGTTTTCTTTTGACTCTAAAAATTGTTCAAGAATCCAATTTTTCTTTCACTTTCTCCCAACTTCTCCGTAATCAAACATTGTATTAACTTAGCTCTACTTCAAAATATGACGGAACCAACAACAATTCCAAATAGCAATTCAACCTCCCAAAAGTCAAAACATGGTTATGATCTCTATATAGCAATAACAATACTGATAAGAATTCATAAACCCCAACTTCAAAGACTCCTTTTTCATGGCTTCTAAGTACTCTTCAATCGGACTGTATAAGATAGTTTTCAAAGGAAGCAATACTTGATAGTCCAAACTTTTCTGTCCAATCTAATTGCTTTTAAATAATACAGATTGAACAATATATATATGCATGTATACAAGTCTCATATTATACAAGGGGTTTAACCCAGTTTCTTTATCATTTTGATCTAAAGCAAACCAAAATATTTGTTCATTCGGTTTATTTTGATAAACCCAAAAACATAATTAGGACAATTAATGAAAAACATCACTAAAATCTGATTTAATCGTTGAAACATCGATGTGTGTTTGTGTGTGTGTGAGAGAGAAATATACCTGGCATGTTTGAATAAGGAGATAGCAACGAGCCCTTGAACGAAGATCAAAGGCGGCGGGGTTCAAGGATTTACTGATGTTCGGACGATTCAATTCGATGTTTGAATGGCGGTTGATATAAGTCTACACTAAGATTCCGTACATACGAGTGTCTATATATATATACACACACGTATATATAATGTATTTCTATATAGACTGCGCAACCTAGAAAGTATACAGAAGATGGCACGAGAGAATCCCACATTATAGAAAGTATTCCGAATCTTTTGTTAAAGTCAATATCTATTATCTTCAACGTTCTGTTATTTCTTTTAACTAAAAATAAATTTAGTAAAAAATAAAAAGTTCCATAAAGGTCAGAAAAAAAACTAATGATTTTTTATTTTTTATTTTTAATTTTAGTGACATTCATTATATATTATTGGGCACTTTTAAATTAGTGACAAACCAAGGGGAGGAAGGGGGAGGGCACGAGTTGGGCATTGGCCACTGAATAATACCTAAATTATTATTGGGCACTCGAGATATTTGAAATCCTTAATACGGAATATTTTTCTAAATAATAAAAAATAATTATTTATAATGGGTCAAAGGCTCAAAGTACTAGTACATTATCAGAACTGTCAGGCTGAAAAAATAAAAAAATAAAAATAAAAATCTCACCACACCTCTTGTGAATTGTGATCATGCTTTGTTTTGGAACCTTTGGAATTTAAATTTGGAATTCGAAAAGAAATTGAATTGTAATTAAAATAAAAGGTATTTGACGTTTGGAATACATTCGAATTTATAAAAAGGAATTTGAAATAAAATAATTTTTATACCACTTTGGAATAAAAAGATGTGACAATTACAAAGGAAGTTGTAAAACGAGAAACTTAAAAATAGTTAATTGCCTTCAAATCCTACCATTTTTTTAAGAATTTCTCTACATTACCATTTTTTTCAGAATTTCTCTACATTACAAAATAAAAGTAGTTATTCTCATTTCATGATTCCCGTTACTAATTTTACTTTAATAACCAATCAGAGAGTATATAATTAATTGACTTTCACTTCATGATTCTTGGGGCTAATTTTGTCTTGATTTCATGTATGTGTGGGTATAAAGGAGAGAGGTTGGAGGGGGGAAAATAAAATAAAAAATAAAAATAAAAATAAAAATAAAAAATGATTTCACATATCTGTGTATATATAAGGAGAGAGGTGGAAAAGGGCAAAAAAAAAAAAAAAAAAAGAAAAAAAGAAAAAAGAACGTTTTAATTTTATTTTAATTTTAGTCAAAAGATAGTTGAATTATATAATAATATATTACGTATAATATATTTATAAAGTGATATTTTTACATATTGTAAAACAAAAGTTGACTTGTTGACTTGGCTAATAAGGTACGTTAGAGGAGCGTTAATCATCACTTTTTCCTTATCTCGGATGCGATAGTGGAACTACGGCCACTTCACTTCTTGAACTTAAATATCAAAGAAAAGTGAGGTGGTAGAGCTGTTTTTTGAGTTCTAATATCAATTTAAAAAAATATATTTAAATTCATACTCGGAACTCAATTTATGCCAAGGAAGAAAAACAGTTTTCCAATTCCAAGCAAGCTCAAATTCCTCCGGCCAACCTGTCGAATAAGATCATGATCCAAACACTCAAATTTTCTGACCCTACTTCAAATTCCAAAATTTTCTGAAGCCAATGTGACCCATGATCCAAACACTACAAGATTGCTACAGCTTGATCAAATGGAATCATAATTTTTGAGTAAATTATATTTCATCTAATACATTTTATATGCAAAAACAAAAAACAAAAAAACGCCTGACTCACTATAGGTCCACAAGAATCATACAGAAAAAATGAAAATTTTTAGGATTTGTTCAACTACACACAATGATAATCATCACCTGTTTCAAGCTAAATCTTTTAAAAACAATGCACACTCAAAATTCAAATGCTATGCCGGACGACTAGGAAGAACTTTACATGACATGTTGTAGGGGGTCACGGAAAAATACAAGGAATGAGGCAAAGAACCAGTCTCCGAATAAAAACTGTGTCAACAGGCGCATCCTCCCGACTGTGGCTGTGACTGAGATGCACTTGTGTTGGACTTGAGATTGACGTCAACCATGTCCTCTTGCTTTGCCGAAGATAGTGTTTCCATTCCGGGTAAGGCTGCAGCAATCTTACGAAATAGCGCCTGCAAAGGTTACTCAGCAGTTAATACGCGACAAGCCTAATACAGAAGATGTGAAGTAATAAACCGACTTATTTTCATACAAGGAGTACAGACACCCATCTACAGATAAAGTAATCAGATACTGTCGTTAGCACTAAATATAAGACATTGTTCTTATTTTGAACTTTCTCCTATTCCAACATAACACTTTAACAATCTAAAGAGTTTTGAACTTTTTAGGACTTCTGCTTTAGATTTCCAAAAAACGGAGACCTCATTAAAGAACGTGATTGTCTACCTTTATATTGAAGCCGGCCTTCGCACTGGTTTCAATAAACATAACACTCAAGTCACGAGCTTTGGCTTCTCCTTCCTCTATTGAGACTTGCCTATAGATCAACCACAACATAACAGAAAGTATGAGCAAAAATCAAAAGAACTGAAATATGTAGGTTACAGTCACTAGGGACCAGTAGCTATTTATTGTAAAATATTCTATATGGTATTATAGGAACCTTTTAGTGGCATGGAGGTGCTTGTTTTATTCACTAGCATCAGACACATGATCTATAATAATAAGCCCGTGCTTATTTTATTTTCAAAGTGATTCGGTTTCCATTGTGAAAGCAAATAGAAAAGAAACTTCAGCTCTTTTATTGGTCATGTTTTCACAAAACACCAAAACGTATGCTTAAATTCACATACAGAAAATTGGCCTCATTCTTTTCCTCTATACTTTGTTCTCTTCATTGTCTTATTTTCCTCCCATGTTAATGCCTCAAATTCATAATTCAAAATTCTTCAAGCTGACAACAATCCACAGGTACATGGATTTACGAAGTGCTAAACCTTGGAAACATGTGCACAAGTTGTCAGATGACACCGCAAAAAATTCAAGACATGATATTTACTGTATTATATATAGTATAAACAGAAATGAATATAATATTCAGTAGAGCAGTTTAGAGAATGTAGCCATTTATGAAAGGATCATTTATTATAAATTACTGAAATTATCCGTCAGGAAATGGAGAAGTCTATGGAGATATTAACATCAAATGAGTAGCCATTAACCAATTAAATGATGAAAAAAAAAAAAAAGGCAGCAGCAGAGTGCAGTGGAGGAAGCAACAACTATGACCTCTATTGCTAGTAACAGATATCTTTTTCTCCATCTTGCCCACTTCCTTGTTACACAAGTGCTCCTCCGTATTTCCATTTTTCTATGGAAAGACCTAGAATACTATGCTGAGGTATAGTGACCATAGTCGTACCCTCGTCATCATCATCCTGATGCCAATTAAATGGAGTCGACCACGTGAGCTCTCTTCTTCCACTCTTTTCTATAACATTCTAGAGTAGGAGTAGAGTTCAAAATTATACAATAAATACAGTTGTGTATAACATCAAATTAGAAAGAAAATATAAAATCTGTCCTGTTCATGCAAAAATGTACAATTTACAAAATTGTCCATTTTTTTACCATTTTCTTAATTTTCTTGTACGTCCTATTGTGAGTTTCTTTTATGGAATACACAAGCCTAAACTTATACCTGACACCCAAGAGAATGGGGGCAAGCAACGGAAGCTTCTATCACTCTAAATATAATATACGCAAGCGCTAAAAGGTTAACATATTGCAATTGCAACAAAGTAACGCCTTTTCACATCTATTTTTGGAGAAGCAAAAGTGTACAATGACAAGAAAGATGTGATAATTATTGTAACAAATATAGAACAAAAAGAAGGAATCAAATGAAGAACTAGACTGTTGTAACCTCCCCACCCCCAACGTAAAAAAAGGAAAAATTACTTAAGGGCTCTTACAACGTCATTATGACTAAGGAGGACAAAAAATGACCTCTAGAAAACCCAGGATTCACTGCTCCTCCTTTACCAATATATAAGACTCTTATGCATAACCTAAGAGGGTAGGAATTCATGAAATAGCCGTCCCAACCCAAGAGAATAATCAAATTTGCATAACAGCAAGGATTCAGACTTTGCCACCAACCCACCCACCAGAGTCACCCTCAGATCAAAACAATGATGCAAACCCTTCCAATTTTCCAGAAGAGAGAATCTTTTTTCAAATTTTCATGCAGCATAGCTTTGCTCATCAAAGAGCTAGATTCCATACTGAATTTTAATTGTCACCACGGGTCTTGCATAATTGCAGATTATTAGTCCATAGCGTCTACATTATGCTCATGGATATATATGTGCGTGTGTGTGTGTATAAAGCCAAATGAGCAGCTAAAGAGTGCATTAGAAAAGGAGACATTCGACTGTATTAAAAATAAATTAGAAGCAAGACGCTTGACCCTTACCTCTTATCCACTAGGTCTGTTTTGTTTCCAACAAGAACAATTATAACATCACTGCCCCGCTCAGTGCGGACCTCCTCAATCCACTTTGAAGTGTTCAGAAATGATTGCCTGCCTAAACCCCAAAAGATCGGCAGAGTAGTTAGCAAAGTTGACAAAAGTTTGGCATACGCTAGATCAATCAACTGTGCTCTTAGATTAAAAAAACATGTGCCTGACACATAACTGATTAAATTTAATAAATACCAAAATTACCCTTTATTGATTCCCAAAACGCCCTTCCCTTTTGTATATAAATCTAAAAATAAAGGATTGTAATAGTAATTTTACATTAACTGAATTTTTATTTTATTTTATTTTTTAATTGTAGAAGGGCGTTTTAGTATTTTTATCACCCCATTAACGGTCAATTAACGGGAGGTCCTTATTTTCCCCTACAATAAATGTTAGGGGGTTTTCAGAACCTATAGGTGGTTATATGAGCTATATGCATACTGCAGGGTGTTAAATGCTCGCGAGCCCTTGAGTAAATGAACAGTTAATCGACAAAGAATATAGGAAAAAGGCATACTTGCAACATCATATACAATGACTGCAACAGAGGAATCCCTAATATAGCTTGGAATGAGGCTCCTGAACCTTTCTTGTCCAGCAGTATCCCTGCAAGCATACAAAGCACAGAAGATGAAGTCTCCAAAGAGTATGCATTTAAATATATCATGTAATGTAATGTTTCAAAATTTTAATTGAAAGAGCACTGAATAAAAAACATTTCCAAATGTCAATCATGTCCATGGTAAACAGAAATTCTAATTATGGAAATATGAAGTTAGCTTCTAGTACCTCTTTCACAATGCCAAAAAGTCTCAGCTAAGTTCCAATTGCTAATGAACAAGTATATACAAAAGATACCATCATCTTTTCATGGATGATAAACAGGATATCAGTGCTAAAAGATGTGGCAGCCTGAACCTCAAAATCTTAAAAGCATTGACCACATGCATAAGCTAACCAGAAGAAACATTTCCACAATATCCCAGATACAAATGCTACCAAATTGCCAATGACAATCTTGTGGCCATTGACAAAAAACAACCTTCTGACTTGATATGTAAAGTCACTGTCAAGAAAGCTTCTCTACTATAAACTTGAAATAGATTTTTATTAAGTAAAATAGCAGTTCTTTCAAATACTTTAGAAGCCAAAATTTTCATTTCCATGATGACTGATAAAACAAAACCATTTGTAGTTCTCTCACAATTTGAAGGGAGAGAGAGAGAGAAGGAAAAAAAAACTGTTCTCATGAAAAAAGGGATAAAAATATAAAATCAGATACATAAGATTCAACAAAAATTTGTTCTTGAAAATTTTAAACTAGCCATAAGGCGCCCTAAATGAGGTTATCAATGACAAAATTTGCCAGGAGTTACCTATCCAAAAAAAAAAAGGAACATTTGACTGGAGTGGATATCTAATGAGAGCAAAATTATAACAATAAAACGATTGAATCATGTATGAGGCAATGACCACATCATATAGAAGCACATGTGACTCCGTGGAGTTCGCATTAAACAGAATGGCATCTTATACATTGCACCAAACATTTATAAGATTAGCTTTTTTGAAATGTTAATAAAAATTCACTCATAAACTGATACCAAAAAATAGATTAAATCTCCTGATCTAGATAATAGATCGTTCTGAAACATATATCTTCAAATATTCTAATTATAATTTTAGTGAGTTCAGGATACACACATTTTATATGGTGTATGTCATTTAAAGTGCCCATGTACCACAAAAAATGGACACAGACCAGATAACTTGACCAATTTCAACTGAATTCTGATTGTACCTCAGGTTTAGAAAATCAATAATTTAATAACCCTTAGCACCACATACATATACAAGGCAGTTTTTCGTAATAAAATACAATAAGAAAATATATTGAAGGCAGTTTTTCATAATAAAATACAATAAGAAAATGCATCTTTTACCAGAGCTGCAGTCGAACTGTTCGATCTTCGAGGTACATTGTCTTTGATAGAAAATCAATACCAATAGTAGCCTGAAAAGGAATAACAGAAATTGTATGTAAGCATGTACAACATTCTACATTGTAGATTTAATTAAGCTGCTATTATAGTTGTAACTTCCAGACGCAACTCCATCTGGGTTAAAACAAGCACACACCTCAGCAGCACAGGAAAATTAATCACAGTGAAGGAGGTTTTAATTATAAAAATCTTCTTTTCTACTCTTTTATGTTGGGTAGATGCGGATTGAATATGATCATTTTGGGCACACAACGTCTGATCAAATAGTCGGCCAGAGCCTTAAGTTGAAGACAATATTTAGTATAAATATATGCCAACCGGAGTCTTTGTTTGGTTGCTAGGAAAATGTGTGAGAATATAAATTAGAATTTTGAATCTTGCATGACTGATCATGAGAGATAACAGATCACGCGTCCCTTCATTCAACCGAGCCTTACAAAACTATATTGTTTAGCTTAATTTCCGTCATATTTCTATATTTTCTGATCAACTAAATAAAGTTAATATACTAAGCGTCAGGATCAGCTCAAAGTTCGAATTACTCCGTTATTCCAAAACTAAAGCAAAATCAAAACTAATCAGATCAAATGCTTTTAACAAAACACAGAATCATTTCGTAAGTGCAAAGTGAACAAACCGAATAAACCAATCAGATCCGTAAACGCAAACAAACTACGGAGTAAATTTCAAATAAAACGTCCAGTTGATGAATTCCATACCTGATATGTATTATCGAACTTATCGTACATGAATCGAGTGATGATGCTAGTCTTGCCGACTGATTGGTCACCGAGAAACACGAGTTTGTACTTGGCGAGAGCTGAAACCGGAGCCATCAGTCGGATCTATCCAGAAAAGCAGTCGGATCGGACACACTGATCGGAACAGTTGAAATCTCCCGACTGAGAGACAAGATCTTGCCGGGAAACAATTCGGATGTGTCGCCGGAGAACCCGATGCGCGAGGTCTGTTCTAAATTGTTTGTATGCGTATATATATATATATATATGCAAGGTTCAATGGAGTAATATGGTTGAGCTGTTGTGCGTGTTTATGCGCGTTTATTGGTTTGAAAGTTGTTTCGCCCAAACGAAACTCTTCACTTTTTCTGCTTCTGTAACGCAAGCAAATCAGTTGTTGCATGTGATGCTATTTTTTGTTCATTTACTCATTATTATTATTATTCTTCTTATTATTAGTATTATTTTATTTATTTTTTCACAAATTGATGAACTATAATTAAAATTTAAAACTAACATTCAAAATTCAGCTCTCAAAATTGTTTTACTAATTTTTTTTTTCATAGCCTCAGAATTTCACTTTGGTTTTTAATTCTTAAAATTTTTAGTTTCAGTAGGTTTAGCCATAAACTCACGCCTTAAGAGTTCATTACAGTATATTTACACGAACAATTATAATTATTAAGTCGACATTCAATTCAACAACACAATAATATTTAAATTTATTCTTCGATTCAATTCAAAATTCATTCAATTCCTCTCCCCTCTCTATAAAACTCTCTCTCTCACCTCATTTTTTCATTCCTCCTCCATTGTAATAAGATTAAACTTAAAAATGACCTTCTTCTTCGCCCTCTATAGTCAGCAAGCCATCGAAACCAACAAACATGATAATATTCATTTCTATATTAATTTGTTTGTAGCTTGTTTAAAATGTGATGGGTGTTAGGTGTTTTTATTTTTAATGTAACCATTATTATTTGCCTTATACTTTTAATTTATGGTGGTGTTTATGTGTATTGTGTATTAAAATTACATTGTTTGGATGCACAATTACGTTGATCACCCCTTCTTGTCACTAGTCACTGTTGTTGTAATTGACAAAATTCAAATTATAACAATTTAGATAATACAAACACACTAATGGTGACTCATTATTTCGATGAATTATTTCTTCGGACAGAAGAAGATTATGTAAGCACTTACTCGAAATCTCACTTATCCAATTCCATTGTGGAAGACACAATTTTTTCTGAAGAATTTGCCATGATATATCTGATCCATGCATAATATCATGAAAAATGGATACAAATTTTTGACTGCTACTTAGTATCGGCAATAGATCCGAAAAAGTATCTAAAAATATAAAATTTAGATATTAACATGCAGTGCCATATAAATAATAATGCCGAAGATGGTAATCATTTAGATAATTTCAACTTTTAAGATGCACCAATTAGTATAATGTTAAGTGCTCCCATCCTATACTTCTATTATTGAATTTCATTCCCTTATACTCACTAACTACTCATTAAAATAATTTAAAATTTCAAGTCGAGCACAGAGTACGTTTTGAAATATATTTAAATTCACTTTGACTGATAAAGATACTTTTAATTGTTAAACTTTTGTTTGGTAATTGTTGTGTTTTTATTTTTATTATTATTATTATTTTGTTTCGGACAATGCACCATAATGAAGTAAAACATAAAAGTGTATTTGATAAAAAAAATATTTTTAAAAAAGCGGCTAAAATTAAAAGTATCAAGTTGGTGATTCCAACGCTTTCGTCACGTAGACAATAACTCAACATGCTGCAAAGAATATGGGTTATTCTAAAAAATTAAAAGAATTGTAAATAGTTGTATTGGGTATAAAATATTCTAAAACAGTAAAGAATTTGTAGTATAATAAATATTTAGAAGATTTGCCAAGAGTGTTTAAAAGCATCTCCAATACTCTTTCATTTTGAGCTCTCAAACTCATAATTTGAGAGATGTGTAAAAAAAGTTGTTCCAATGACCTTTCATTTGGCCTCTCAAAATTTGAAAATCTCAAAATTTTTCTCAAATATAAGAGCTACCAAATTTTTTTGGCAGCTCTATCCCCCCCCCTCAACACACACACACAAAATAATATATGAACACACACACAATAATATATGAACTTTCGAAAAAGTAAAAAAAAATTATATAAAAAGAAATTATATAACAATCTAATCAAATATATAAATTTATACATATATATATATATATATATATATATATATATATATATATATATATTGGTCCTTTTTTGACCAGATATTTTAGATTTTTGTTTCTTTTTAATTAGGTTTAATTTTAGTTTCCTTCTAATGTCTACAACTTAACTTGGAATGTGCCTAATATTAATATTAGTGATACAAATATGAATGGTGGGAATGGTAATTAAAAAAGAATGGTGGTTGTGTCAAAAAATAGCATTTTGCATTAAATGCACCATTGGAGCAGAATTGCTAAAATGTAACATTTTGACACTGTAACATCCGTTAAAATATACATTTGACAGCTAAAAATAACTTTTAGCATTGGAGATGCTATGAGGTTACTTTTATATTTAGACACAAAAATGCAATATTCATACATGGGTGGTAATTTAAACAATTAACTATAAATTCTATATAAAATTTGTGCTACTAAACCTCAACAAATTGTGGTCAAGATTTGCCATTCTATTAATTAAACTATACATCAGCCATATGATAATGTAACACAAATTCTGTAAGAGTTTTACTCTCTTCTTTTAGTTAATTCAATTTTGATTTTGTAAGAGATTTACTAATACCAATTTAATTAAAATACTTTTAAATTTTTTTTTTTTGATTTACTTGCAATGTTAATAATGTAGCTGAGGCTCTCTGCAAACACATATTTAATGTTTTTCTTTTAAAAAAATAAAATAAATAAATTACAACAAATATAACATTATCGATTATGTAATATCAAAAAGAAGAAAAATAAATATGATCCGACAAATGGCAAGAGTTTAATAGAACAAATGCCAACGACGGTGGTCTAATTTACTACTGTCACTCTTTGGAAGAGGCAGAGAGAGAGAGAGAGAGGAGAGGGATGGCTTCGGCTTTGAGAGCAGCCGTACTTCGCAACATTCGAGTCCCTGTTGCTCAAACCCTAACCCTAAATGGATCGAAGCTGAGTCTGTGCAGCACCGTCCGATCTATGTCGTCTCACGGCGACGATCATCTCGACAAAGAAGAGGTCATCGGGAGAGTCCTTGATGTCGTCAAGAGCTTCCCTAAAGTCGATCCTTCCAAGGTCGGTCTCTCAATTTCCTTATTCGTCTTTCATTTCCCCTCTGTTTGGTTACTGAGAAAATGTAGGGAAATAGAAAACAAAATACTAGACAATCTATGATCTAAAGCTAGCTTTGTGTTCCTTTGTACTGTTAGCAACCAAACAAAAGCTATTGTTTATTACTGTAGTTTGCGTCTCTTATTATCTCTAACAATTTTACGGGGAAGAGTGATTGATCTTTACTCTTCATACAATTAGGGTTTGATTTTGCTGAGTTTTAACCGACATTCTGTGTTGTTATCGCTGTTTTTTCTTGCCTCTAGATTGATGTTTTATTTTTAATTGAAAGACTTACTTCAAGTTAAAATGTCCATTGGTAGTCAATTTCTAGCTCGTAGCATGTTTCTGCATTGAATTACTCTTTTATGTAGCATGTAACTGAAAAAAATTATGACTTCCCAACTTAATGAGGATTTGAGATGTGAAATACTGTAATTTGAGCTATTAACTACCTGTTGAACAATCTAAACTTTGATTTATAAAGATTCGACATGTCTTTCCGCTAATTGTGAAACTTACATGTTCTAATGATCCATGAAGCACAATATGCTTGTTCAGTTTCAATGTGATATCCAAGTATACTCTAATAAATTTCTGCTTAATATTCTTGTTGATGAGTAAAATGGAACTGTATCATCGAAGCGCGTCTAAGGGGCACATGACTGATGATCATTTCAGAAGAAACCTATAGACCCAATAAAATGACAAAAGAATTCAACTTTTCTATGCAATTCAAGACTCAAGATAGTGGTTTACGCATTCTCTCTTTCTGCAAAACAGTGTCCCCAAAAATGATATTCAATTAATGAATTAGCTTGCCACACCTTCAAATGGGCGTCTATTCCTCGTCTCCCCTATATGCATTTCAATAACGAGAGGCAACATCTATACTCCTCTTTCTCCTGCTGCTCTCCAACTTGAAGGGCTTCTGCCTCTGGTTTGTGTAGCACCCTTGACGTACAAGGTAAAGCCAACAATAATTACCTATTTGACCACTCTACCATGAAGAAGAGTATGATTGATTGACTTCCTGTCTCATTGAGCATGCATCACCAATTGGAGAGAACTTTGCTTCACCTCATTATGCTGTTTTTCCTTGATAGTCTTCTCATGAGCTGCCAACCACCCTACAAGGGAACTGCTCCATATGATTTTTCAAAGAAAGCATACCAATTGCATAGCAACACTATGTAATATGATTTAATTTCAAATTTATCTGACTTTGAGGCTTCCCATCTCACTTCATCCTCCTCCACTAAGCATCAAACAATACCACCAGTGCTTCTGTATCCCAACCGTCAACTTTTCTTCCAAACCTAGCATAAAAAATTACTCAATTGGCATTGTTACTACAATATTATGGGTCATCTGTTCTAATTTATTTCAATCCTATATAATTTTGGGCATGAATCTTTCAGTTTAACATCCCTGCATCATCTTTAGGCCAAAACTCAACCTATCATATTTAGAAATTTCATGCTGTTTTCTCTTGCTGTCTTTTCCATGTACTAATTCCATGAGTGGGGTTCACCTCATTGTAGTCCATCCACCTATTTTCCTCATGTTTGTAACCACAATCCTTTCTCCAAAAGTTAACCCGCACATAAGCAAATCCTCACATCAAGTTGCGAAGAACTCATGATAGAATTCATAATTCTCAATTTATGTACCCTTAATGGACGCGTGCACTTAGGAATAGACAGCTTCCAATCAACCAAATGATATATGGATTGTTTTCCCACTCCAAACTGGGCTACTTCACCACTGATATTGGATTTGTGAACAAACACATGAAATGTATTGGAAGGCCAGTACTCTTAATCATAGCTAATCTGCCCCTCCAGACGTGTTGCCTTTTCCACCCTACCAGGCTACCAGCCTACTTTTTAAATCTCTCCACAGCTGAGAACCATATTGCTTTGGCTTTAAAGGAGAAATCCAATGGTATACCCAAATAAGTTGATGGAAGGGATGTTACTCTGCACCCTAGAATCTGTGTTACCTGGACTCGCCTGCTTAGGCCGAAGTGTCCATGTCGACACGACACGACACTGGATCTGAGTCGGATCCTTCATGGCGTCTACCTGACTCGGCTGATAGATGACAAAAACTCAAACAAAGATGTTTGGGTTGGTACTTGTGAAGGATTGCGAACTTTCTTCATGCTTTATTTGTTAAATAGGTTGCCATTAATGAGATCAGAAAACTTACTGGTACAAAATTGCGGTTTGCTTCAAAAGTAGCGTCTTTCGAAGGTTAAAGAAGACTGAAGTGTACGCGCTTTGTTTGCACAAAATTTTGTAACGGCCTAGCGTGTTTGCACATTCTTACTAATGCTTTTAATACCCTTCAACGGTCACGATCATGCCACTTGTCAATTTGGATGTAAAAATATGGGAGAGTTTGGTCTTTTAACAAGGATAATGTTTTACAAGTGTAAAACACTATCTAAGGCTATGAACAATTTACAACTGTACTGGACAGCTGCATTATTTTATTTAAGTAACATATATCGGTCAATCTTGAGCAAATTTTTTGACCTTTATAACTTTGACAGTTTGACTTTATAAATAAGGTAATATTATTATACAAGTTGTATTACCTTTTTTTTCAGTAAATCCATTCATTAAAAAAAAGAAACTGTACAAGGAAAGGCCTAGCCCAAAGGCAGCCCAGAAAAACAAAACAAAAACAGGCCCACACAGGAGCACATTGCAGTTGCATCCACAACTGTAAGAACAGATACAAGTGCAACAACAGAGCAAAAAAAGAAAACCTGCATCACAAAAAAATAGAGCTTGGAAGGCTCCACGCTGCTATCTTTACATTTATATATTTATTCAATTTTTCATTAAAAAACTGAGGTCTAACTTAAAAAGGGTACATTTTTGTCCTTTCCTACAATTGTCCAAGTGTCCATGTCACTTTTATTCCGTGTCCCCGTGTCCTATAATTTGATAGATGGATGGATCCGACCTCTAGACACGCACCCGTGTCCGACACCCACACCCGAGTCTAGGTAACATAGCCTAGAATAGAAAGGCTCATATCAAGCAGTAAATAGGGGTACGTAGGGTGTTGAAATTTGGAGGCACCAAGAAGCCACCTAAAGGGCCTTCCTAAATAGACCAGTTAATAAAATAGCAAAAAGAAGAAGACCATGGACTATGAGGATAAGTTTTGGACCTCTTGGAAGATAGACAAAGAAATGTAGAAGGTTCTGGTTCTCATATCAACATTATTGTTTGGACCTCTAAGTTTTCTATCACTGAATGCAAAGGTTATCTTTGTCCTATGGGTATTTGTATTTTCATTAGATTTTTTGAAGCAGCATTACTATATTTTTCACTTAACTACATTCATATCTCAGCAAGAAAATATTGTTGGGTTTATAATTGTTTCTGCTATATGCAGGTGACTCCTGATGTCCATTTTCAGAAAGATTTGGGCTTGGATAGCTTAGACACTGTGGAGATTGTAATGGCTCTTGAAGAGGAGTTCAAGCTGGAGATTCCTGATAAGGAAGCTGATAAGATTGACTCTTTGCCCCTTGCAATTGAGTATATTTATAACCATCCAATGGCTGGTTAGCGTAAGCCAGCTTCCCTCATTTGAGTTCCAATCTTGTTTCATTTTCTTATGATATCCCTGCAAAACGATGGTCGCTCAGCCTTGTCTTTGTTTGTCCTGGTAGAGTGATGGGAAATAATCAGAGTTTATTTGATTAAGAGTAGTTTGTAGAACTTGCATTTCCTGGTTTCTATATGTTTCTGCTTTAGCCATTAATATCCTCTACTTCATGAATTGGCTTGCTATCATGATATTTCTATGTCCCATCTTTGTTTGACTGCTTGGGTGTTTGTAGAAAATTGATCCTGGTAAGAGGGATGGGAAATAATAAGTGTATTTGATTGAGAGTAGTTTGTAAAACTTACTTTTCATGATTATGTTAATGCATATACAATGTTTAAAACTGCTAATATTCACTATTTAACTTCATTGATGTGAAAATGTCAGTTTTGGGAGTGGGAAAACAGGATATTTTTGGTTTATTTGACCAAGTCCTTGTTGTATTTTGGTTTAACAATGAAATCTGAACGAAATGATCTATCAGAAGTCACTTTCCTTGAAATTGCTTCAGATGAACCTTGAGATTTGATCTTTATTGTAATCATTTTCTCCCCTAAAGGTATTGCTTCAAAGTCAAGCACATATCATTAGATTGACAGGTCATCTGAATTATTTTGTGAAACACCTATGTCATTAATTTCATATTCAGTTGTTTATAAATTGATTTAATTAGGGATGTTAGAATTTTAAGGGAGGTTAATAAAGAGATGTCAAACCTGTAAGAAATTATTTGAGGCCTAACAAAAGAATATGGTTATTACCCAGAAAAAAATCAGGTATAAGATATATGCTAAAAAGCTACTAGCTTAGGTTGTGCTCGTGTTCTAAATTTTTTTATTTAACAGAGATACTACTATAAAGCTTTTGACATATGCTAATAATATGTCTTGTGCTGTTGTTCTAAAGCCTTTTTTTTTTTTTTTTTTGAAGAGGTGGCTCTAGAAAGCATTTAGCACATGCTATCACCATATTTAATATTGTGTTTTAAACTATTTTGAAAAGGATGCCTAGTTTTTGGGCCACAAGCTGGAGGGAGACCACAGAAATCCTCAAAAATGAAAGAAGAATTATAAAGCTTCTATATGTGTGTGTGTGTGTGTGTGTTGGCAGATATATGCGTAAAGAGAGAATGCTGTTATATTGTTGCTTTTGAAGAAGATTATATCAAAGTATGGCCTAATAATAGCTGTAGTTTCTCTATGCCATTTTCTTGGTGTAACAGTAAAGCTTGGGTTAACGAGTGTGAGGACAGGTAATTAAGTTTGACCTATCTCCAGTTTGCGGGTCACTTTCAGCACCCCGTAGGGTCAGGAATGATACTGATAATATTTAATTGCATTTCCTAATGCTTAAATTCATGTATATTTTCCCGCCTAAACTTACCTGGAAGCTCTCATTCTTTCAGAGAGCCTTAAAATCCTTGATCAATGGGGATATTCTGATCATAGAATTGTTATGGAAGGTGACTGTAAGAGTGTGCCCTCTGATGATCTTTAAGCAATTGAATTCAATAGTTGCCGAGGTCATAAACTGGAATTGGCACCTCGTCATTGTAATGGTGTACCTCATGAGCTAAGTTTATGGTCTTTAGGGTGTAAGAGGAAGGATAGGGTCTGGAATTATTGGCCACAGTGGCTTATTGATGCTATTCGATCTGATGGAAACATATATCTATCTATCTATCGGGGGGGTGTCTAACATGTTGATTAATGTTTAAATATCCTGTAGTTTTTCACTGCGTAAACTTATGTGTGGGTGTCGTCTATCATGTCGAGGTTACATTATTTACCCAAAATAGAAAGTTGTTACACTTCTATATTAGAATGTTTTACTAATAGGAATATTGTTGCCTTGAAGATGAGGTTTGGTCATTAGCCATCAAAATCTGGTTTTTGAACAAACCCTTTCAAGAATTTAATGAGACAGTGGTTGAATTCAGAAACTTTGTAAGCATTGATGTGGACCAGTAACAGCTTGATCAACTTTGTGATATGTGTTCATCATGTTATGGTAATTACCGTAATTTAACATGTGATTTTTTTTTTTTGTAGAAAATTCATTTGGCATGATATGTCTGAGATTCCTTGTTCCTAATTTAACTGTTTTAAGGCACAATCTTTTACGTCATCATTTTTCATTTTTTCTAGAGTACATTTACTTTTAAGTAAGAAAAAAGTAATTATTATGTGACCATCGTAGGACTTGAACTGTATGACTATGCTATAATCCAAGGTTGTGGTAAAACAACGACTTTTTACTGTAGTTGGCATGTTCGTGTTTATTCTGAGATTGAGTGAATGATTTGAAAGCTGACATTGGAACTGTTTTCATTTGCTTTTCTATTATCTTTATTCCTTTGCAGGAAAATAGTATTCTTAAGCATGTGACTTAAAGTAATAGATACCTTTCGGTTGTTTTCCTCCAACTAGGGTGAGCCCATTCTGTGACCCATACGTTGCGTTATGTTAAATGTGTTTAACTTGGAAGATTGATTCAAAATACAAGTTGTGAGACTCACTCTTCACGTCTCAGAGATCGAGAGAGTTTGAGAGTTTGAATCCCTGTCTATTCTCTAGAGAATTTTTGCTAATTGAACGGTGCATACGGGAAAGTGGTAGACATGTTTAAAAATTGTTTGAAAAAATGTAAATTGAAGAGGAAATCAATGTTCCATGAAATATGGTACCCCAAAATAATCCATGTCAAAGTGCTTGGAAACTTGTTATAAATCTCAGGATTTGACTTGACTACAAAAATTATCCGCTAATTAGATTGAATTTAAGTTATGTTTCTATGAAATATGTGCTGTCCTTGTATAACTATAAATAGATTAGCTTATGGGGTCATAGACTCATAGTCATGTAATTAGATGAAATAGTATTCTGATTTTTGCATTATGCTTCCTATATGGATACTTTGTAGTGAACGAAAAAGTCAACATGGACAGATAGGATGATTCCCATAAAGAAAATGACCACTCACCTCGTTCTCTTTGATCCTCAAAATCACCCTTCTTATATCTATCACACACACACACACACACACACACATACATATGTTCTTATATATATATATGTGTTCACTTGTGCAGTAACATTGCTTGTGAACTATCCTTGACAGTCCAAAAGTTTAGCACTTGTTTAAAATTCGAAGTTTGAGATAAGAGATGAATTAGAAGTCACTCTATCATTGAAATTGCTTCAAAACACCCCATTAGGATAGACTCTTGTCGCATATTGTTTTTTCTTCCCTATACATTCTTGGATTTTCCGAAGGTCGAATCACCCAAAACACAAAGAAGACAAATTAACTCTCACTTATAAACCTAAAATTTACAAGAAAGATGAAACAAAGAACACCAAAAGACATTAGAAATCAATGAAACAAGAGACCACGATCATCATCACATAACAATCAATATACATAAACACCAAGATCACTGTGACCTATTTTGTATCACACTCATAATAGAAAGTACGATTGCAGACAACTGATACGTATCGTTACTCCTCTTTGTTAACGGAGAAACTACACCTTTCTTCTCCTTAAACCCGTCTTCGCACGTTGTAGCCATGGTCATAACCCCGCTTATCTGAATGTTGGCTTCAAAATAGTTCTTGGAATTGTAGTATTTCATGGCCTTTTCCACCGAAGGAATTGCATCCGAATAGAGCTGGAAGCAATCATACAGGCAGGCCTTGACATAAGGATCAAGCGTCTTGTTCTTCATCAACTGTTTGATTTTACACCTAGTGTCTGTCACATTATACTTCACTAGCCTTATTGAGATGATCCCGAGTCCCCGGAGGTCCGCGCACTCGCTGGCCGGAGCAGCTTGAAGGGAAGTGGTGCAGAAGTTGAGCTTCACATTTGGATCAATTTTGGCACATACTTTGCAAGTGTCATTGATGAGATTGGAGCCAGTTGTGAAATGGAAGAAGGTGAACAAGTAGAGAGAGAAAGAGAAGAGAAAGAGAGAGAAGAGAGGCGGCCTCATTTCTTTTTTTTTTTTTTTTTTTCTTGTTGGGTATGTCACATTTTTGTTTTTGGCTATGGTATATGGTTTATATAGCTGTAGAGGGGATGGGTTGGTATGGACAGTTGGAACACATTTCTTTTTCAGAATTAATTAATAAAAATTTTGGAAATTTTGGTGGTTTAGGTCTCCTCCAATGTTGTGACACCTGATTTATATATTATAGTTATCTTGACATTTGACATGTGGAGAATTGGATGATTGTTCAGCGTCTCATCCGCATGATGGTCAAGATTCTATCAGTAATGTCAAGCATAGTCATTTTTTTTTTTTTTTTTTTTGATATCATGTATCATGAAGCTCATTTAACCTTATAAATTTTTTTGCTGATTGACTCAAATACTTTTGTTCTATTTTTAAATCGAAACTTAAATGCATATGTCAGGTGATCTAACACTTCGCAATGGTATGTGATAGGAATTTAATTTGATGTAGCATCTTGTAATCAAACTTATCTAAGTATTAGGTGAGACTATAAATATCTGGATGGTTAGAGAGAGGTTAGGATAATTTATCCCCCAAACAAAAAAATGTTATGCATTAAAAATGTTTTTGCACTTCGACATAATTTCCTAATTTACACTTGACATAATTAAGGATAAAGTGAAAAAAAAATCTTAAATTATTGCCCTTATTAAAATAATTCTCTTAAATTACAAATTACCTCTGAATTATTGATTTATTGTAGTTAAGGAAAAATTCATTACAAAAGACTAATTTACCCTTTTTCATTAAATTTGTCACTTCTTAATTAAAATTTTATTAACTTTTTTCTTATCTAAATATTAAGTATACCATTTACCTTAATTTTATTAGTAGTATCAATTTTTCATAAAAATAAAAATTAATAGATTTGTAAATATCATTTTCTAAAATGATTAACTTATTATTAAAATTTACTATTTATAATAAAACTTGATACTCAGTTTATACTTTTTTACCACAAAAAAGCACCTTATTTTTCATACATTATATTCATGAAAAATGAATAAATTACTTAAATAAAAAATACATTGTTTTTCATGCAATATATTTATAAAAAATTACGAAATTACTTAAATTATTTAAAAAAAATTCACTTAAGATATTTATTTACACAATTATTTTCAAAAATTAAAGGTAAATTTATGCAAATTTAATGGAGAATATGTCTTCAAATTAGTATGAATATTTTTCATAATTTATTTCAACAAGAAAAATAAATTAAATCCAATTCAATAAGAAATGACATTATGGTCATTTAATGAAAAATAGTATAGACATAATGACATTTTGTAACAAAATGTGATTATTCAATGGGTATTATGCACAATATATACTTTAAGGGGATTATTTGCTAATTCAAGTATAATTCAGAATAATTTGTTACACTTTATCCAAAAATTAATTGTAAATTTTTGACCTTTTATAGTGAAAGGTTAATAGCTCAAATTAGTACTACTTATGATATTTACCTCTTGCTATGCTTGACACATTAACTTAATATTAAAAACATAATCATCATTATCTTTATTTTAATTCCATATAAATTGGACCGACACATCAATTCTCTATAGGGGTGCACAAAAATCCGGTCAAACTGAAAATTTAAACTGGATCGAACAACTTGGTTTGGTTTACTAATGGTTTGGTTCAGTAACAGTTCTAAATTTGTGAAACCGTAAAGATACAGTTTAAGGTCTTTTAGGACCGAAGTAGATCGGACCAAACCGAACCGTTATGTTATATATATAAATATTTATTTATTTATATATGTTAATTTATACAGTATATATAATATAATATAATCCTATAATTCAAATCACTTACAAGTTTGTAACAACTATCAATCCAATTATCCACTCTTAATTCTCTTAGATCTTATCAATTTATTAGATAATTTATTTATTTATTTTTATAGTGGCTGAATTTTGAATTGTGCCTGATTGTTTGTTGTTGAATTAGTAATTCTAAATGTATTAGGTTATTAGCAATTTTGAATTTATTCACTTCAGTCCTAGAAGTGATAGAGTTTAATGAATTAAAAGTTCTGAATATATTAATAGTTATGAATGTGTTGGTAACTTGATTTATTTTTTTGCATGTGAATTTTGAAATATTAATAGTTCTGTAAAAAATAAAAAATAAATAAAAAAATAAAAAAAAATAACTGTGGAGGTGGAACCGAACCGAACCAAACTGTTTTTTTACGATTTGATTTGGTTTGGTTTCTTTTGTCAAATGGTTCGGTTCAGTTTTAAATTTTATGAATCCGGATTAATTTAGTTTCAAAAAATTCTTAAACCGAACCGCGCGTGTGCAACCTAATTCTCTCAATTAAATTAGAATTAACGATCAATTGTGTACCCAACACTAAGCTGCCTCTTTTTCACATCCGGTCGGGTACAAATGTACGATGAATATATAAAGTACCAAAAAATATATAAAAAATAAAAAAATGTACACCAGTAGTATAGTAGATATAAATATAGATATAGAGATAGAGATGATTATTTATTCATATCAGAAAATAAAACAAGAGATGTTATATAAAGATCAACGTATGATCACCTTATCTATAAAGCACAATGCGAGTGAAGACAGCTGAAGGGCATCCTCAATTCTCTTGGTGAATGGAGAAGCAACATTCTTTTGCATGAACCCCACTTCACAAGCTGCAGTAACCTTCATGAATACAGTGATCTCAAAACGAGCATCTATATATTGCCCATATTTGTAGGCTTGCAATGCCTTATCTATGGAGGGTTTAGCACGAGCCTTGTATTCTGCCAAGCAAGAATTCATGGATGACTTGATATTCGGATCAAGTTTCTTCTCCTTCAGCGACTGTTTGATGTAAGACTTTGTGTCGTTCGCATGATTTTTTAGTAGCTTCATTGTCATCTTCCCAAGTTCCTGGCGGCTGGCGCGGTCCGCTCCCCGGACTGCTTGAAGGGAATTTGTGCAGAAATTGAGCATTGCATTTGGATTTGAATCATCTCTGGCACATATGTTGCAGGCTTCAGGGATGTGATTAGTGTCACCAGTTGTGACATGGAAGGAGAAAAACAAGAATACAAAGAATGAGAACAGGTGTTTGAGAGAGAAGGCAGGCTTCATTTTTCTTTTTTTAATTAATTTCCTATTTGGGTATTGGTCATATTTTTTATTTTCATTATGGTATGAATTTATAGTCGTGGAGGGGATGGGTGGGTTGGTATGGACAGTTGCAAACACATGCATTTCTTCCTAAAGAATTAATGATAGGACTTGGACATGCTGCCCGGCTGGTTGGTATGTTTTATGTGAGTAGGGGATGACATTATTAAGACGTCAGTCATCGTAATATTATCTTTCAATAAATGTTCGATCTTTGTCCCTTTGTTATTTTTATATTTTTATTATTATTATGATATTCTTGTTGTGTTGACATTTGTACATGTCATTGGTTATTCAAACAGCTTCATAATTGACAGTTGGGATCAGGCATGGATCTACAGTGGGCTAATTGGGGTATCTGCCCCTACTGAAATTTTTTGTTATTGTATTTTACACCTCTAAATTTATAAATTTTTGCATTATGTCTATAAAATTTTGAAATTATCCCCACTGAAATTATAAAAAAAACACCTCTATATAAATTTGCCTCCTCACATATAAATTTCTAAATCCGTCCCAGATTGGGATTCATAAAAATTGTTGTATCATACATTTCATGAAAATTTAGTGGACACCTTATAAATTAGGTTCTGCTCAATTTCTATATATCTTATCTCATATTGTGAGGTAAGGGGGAAAAAATAATAATAAATAAAAGTCCTTTTGTTAAGGCTTTGCCTTAAAATATAAGAATTGATTTCCACTAGCTAGTTTTTTCAATTTATTTGTCACTTTACTTTTACGACGACTTCAGCCATTGCAAACTTTCTGGTTTAGGTCTCAATTCAATGTTGTGACACCTGATTTATATATTATGGTTTTCTTGACATTCTTCTTGTGATGACGTGCAGATTTGGATGATTTTTTGACCTCTCATACACATCATGGTCAAGATTTTATCAGTAATGTCACGTATCGTGAATTTTTTTTTTTTTGACATCATGTATCATGAAAATTTAATACGAGCTCATTTAACTTTATAAATCTTTTCGCTGATTGATTCAAATACTTGTTGCTCCATTTCTATTTGTTTCTAAACTAAAACTTCAGTGCACATGTCAGGTGAATTGTATGTAATTTGCTAGGATGTGCACAAATTGTCTAAAGAAGATATAAAATTAGCTGAATTTTTATACAAAAATTTCATGCAAAATGATGAGAAAATTGCATTTTGCTGCTAGAAGTGGTCTACAATAAGGGTGTGAGGGGGACATTGAGAGTATTTTGTATAATTTTTTTTTTTTCTCGATAATTAAGCATTTTATATAATTTGAGAGCTTCTGCATATAAATTTTGTTTTAATATTTAAACAATAGTCTAAATGGAACTTGTTCTTGGAACCGCGAAAATAGTGAGTCTAATCACAATTTTTTTATTATTTTTATTTTTATTTTATTTTTTTCCTAGTTGGTACTCACACACACATGTCTCCACTGAAATTCGAATCCCTTATCTCCTTTTGGAAAGTAGGAGTCTGATACCGTTAGACCACTGGCCTATTGGTTGACCAGTAAATATATATTTATAATGGTTCCAATGGTTCTTTGTGCACCCGTAACAAATATTCTCTACCGTCAATGACATTAATGGTCAGCAACGATCAGCACTGATGTGACATTAACAACCAGTAACGATCAATTGTTGTGGATGTAAGTTGTGCCACGTCAGCAAGGTAGCCACAACAGCAAAGTAGTCAATGTATACAATCACCACCAAGTACAAGACAGAATGTTTTGAACACTCGGTCGATGTACATAGACTGGCCAGCTCATCAAAAACATAAGCCCATAGCAAGAACATAGATTCCAACTGTCAATCGACGGGCCCAGCACCTCAATCCGATCAAGCCACAAACGTTGATCGATGGGCCCAGAATCTCGATTCGACCAAGTAATGAACTATCGATCGATGAGCCCAGAACCTCGATCCGACCAAGCAATGAACTGTCGATCGATGGCCCAGAACCTCGATCCAACCAAGCCATGAATTATTGATCGATGGGCCCAGAACCTTGGTCCGACCAAGCCATTAACTGTCGATCGATAGGCCCATAACCTCGATCCGACCAAGCCACAAACCGTCAATCGATGAGCCCAGAAACTCGATCCGACCAAGCCACAAATTGTTGATCGATGGGCCTAGAACCTCGATTCAAGTTATAGCCAATCGATCAACGAGCCTAGACCCTCCACATGTCGTGCTGAGCGAGGGAACTAGCAACTAAAAGTTGTGGTAGGACTCTTCAAGACCATTGGGAATGCTAAAGGGATTTTGGAATGGAGGATGGAGAATCAACTTTGAGTCTTACTAAAGCAGCCCCAATCCGAGGAGAAAAAGCGAAAGACAGGCTGGAGTAAGCACATAGACCCTGACAACCACCCTCTTTTTAAGTCATTTAAGGAAGGTACGTACACCTGGCAGCAGATCCGGAAAAGTAGGGACTAGGGCATCATAATCCATAAAGGGACATGGGTACGTCCTGGCTCACTTTATCCATATGCCCAACAGATACAATTTGGATGACCTAACGCTATAAAAAGGTGGCTAGGAAAAGAAGATAAGGGAGAGATCGGGCTTTGTCATACTCTATACTTCGTTATTCTTTAGCATCAGTTTTTGAAGATGCAAGAAATTCGTTCCCTCTTTCTCTCTCTAGAATTCTTACACTTCAACCCAAAAAGATCCCCCTTCCTTTCCATTCCTTATCCTATTTATAGATATTTACAAGATATTTACAAAATGCTGACTGATTGCTGGATCTGGGCCTATTCCTCCATAAGTCCTGGTCACCTTTGATGGGCTTACTCGCGTTCGGCCCATATGGCAGTGTCTTTATATGGGCCGACCCAGCTGTACTGACCGAATGTAGTGCTTGCAAGTCGGATCCGGCCCATGTCATCCTGGGCCTCCTCAACTGCCCCCATAATTGCCCCTTATTTAATAAGGGGTAATTATTGATGGCGTCTCATCATGATGTTGACGGCTCGAGAGAACCACGTGAGGGAACGGACGGTCAGATCCAGAATCAATGTTCCGGGGCTCGAGGAATTTCTCGCCTTCCCGACGCTTCGGCCCTCGGGCCCCCTCGCCTTTATAATGCTCTAGAATACCACTTCACGTCCTTTTACCGTCTCCATCATCAGTCAAATCTCTCTCTTTCTAGAACAGTGCTAAGCTTTTTCTGGTGAAATCCTTCAAGAGTCATTCTTCCAGTGATCTTGCAGTCCTCCGAGGTTAGTTTCGTTCTTTTTTACTTTCGGCAGGCTTCCATTTACCCCCTTTTAGATCCTTCAAGCACTTCCACCATGGTTGTAGATCTGGATGTTCTTCGTATGAGACTTAGACTTCCTGACAACATCGAAGTTAGGGTTTGCCCTCAGGACGTTAACATTATGACCGGCGCCGGCCTCCTGCCCGGCGAAGTCTTATTCACGAACCTTCAATTGAATGTTGTTAGGTTCCCTCTGCACCCTTTCTTTAGTTATGTCTTCAATAGATTGGGGATATCCCCCCTGCAGGTCAACCCCAACTTCTTTAGAATCATATCTGTTATGCTCTTGTTGATGCGTGACAGAAATCTGGACCTTGACCTCATAGACCTTCTTCTGTGCTATAAGGTCAGTAAGATCCGTACTAACGAACCCTTCTACCACCTCTACCCGTTCGAGAAGATGTCCATATGTACGGACACAATAAAATCTGAGAAGGGTTGGAGGGATAGCATCGTGGGCATTAGTGGGGCTTGGTCTTCGCCGGCTGCAGAGGGTTACCCAATCCCTAGCGCCTTTGGTGTCTGTTCTGTCTCCTCCTATAAGCAATTCAAATCTCATAAACATGATTGCCCCTGCGAAACATGCGTTCCTCGTTTTTGCACTTTCTTATGCCGTTCCTTAGGGATACCTTGTGATGACTTGAGCTACAGTGTTTGCAGGGATAGGAGTAACTACTTGAAGAAATACGTTCTGAACGATATTCCTTCCTGCTCAGATCTCCTCACTTCAGACAACCTCTTAGCGCTCTCATCACTCTGCTACAACATGAGCAGGCTTCAGATTCCTTCTTTTGGCAGGAAGAAAAATACTCCCCCAGCCACTCCTGCTGCTGGGGCGACCTCCTCTCCAGCGTCAGCCTCTTCCTCAGCCACCATCTCTGACACTGTCCCGAGCACAGTGGCTATTAACTCTGTTGCCAGCGCCCCTGCTGCCAACCAGAGCGCGTCTCCCCAAGCTACCACAGCTCCTGCTGCTGCGGGGGGCTTTCGGGACAAAGAACGAGGCAAAAGGCCTCATCCTGACAGCGAAGTCAATCCTGAGGAGGAGCCTCTCATTAGAAGGACCCGGGTCTCCGGGCCGGGTGCTCTCTTGCACCGTGCGATCAGAGCTCCTGCTCCCTCTGGGCCTACTGCAGCTGGTGGCTCCGCTTCTGCTTCAGGCCCCCCTTCTATCCCCACCTTACCGCCATGGGCCCCTCGGTACACCCGAACGGATGGGACGTTCGTGAAACCGAACGAGACCATGCTGAAGGATGGCCAGACCGCCATGGCCTACTACAGGAGCATGTGGACTCCGAAGGACCTTGAGGCAGCAAAGGGCCTATCCCAGAAGGATGTGTTCAGCCGCTTTCCCCAATCTGCTATGGAGGTGACTTTTATTTTCCAACTCATGAATTCTCTCATATTATTTGGTCTTGCCTTCGCCCGACCTAACTATTGGCTTAACCGTTTTTAATGTACACCTATGCAGACATTGTTCGGAATGATGGCCATGCAGAAGCAGGTGGAGATGGGGAACGCCAGGGCCCGTAAGTTTTCTGACGGCCTGGAGGTGGCTAATAAAGAAAACGACCTCCTCGCCATGAAGAATACCGAGGTACTGGCTCGGCTTGACAAAATCGAACAAGAGAGAGATGTCCTGAAGAAGGAGAATGACTCCCTTCAGGATGAGAAGGACGCCCTCCAGCTT